ATATATATATATATATATATATATATATATATATATATATATATATATATATATATATATATATATATATATATATAAGCGAGATGAAGGATAAATATCCCACAACCCTACTAAAAAATAATATAACTATATAGAAGTAAACTTTTTATCCATTATAAATTCGACTAAAATAAAGAAACTAGTTTGTATTGATTTTTGAAGCACTTATAGTATATTTATATAAGTGACTATTATGTTATGGTTTTTATAGAAGTTGATGCTAAACACTTAGTCATACATCAATTTTCAATTATTACTGTCTATCGATCTCCTCCTCCTGAATATAGATGGTAAAAATTAATTATTAATGGGTCACGACGACTATTAGAGGAATCAATTTTATATTAAGAATAAATTTTTTTTCTTTATATATTAATTATAGGTATCCATATTAAAGATTGATCGGATAAAATGAATCTTTAACTATCAAAGAGGAGTTAGAAGTTACTAGCAAGCAAAGGGTGTATAGCCTCGTAATGGAAATAGATTCTTCTTTTCTTTTACAACTTACTAAAGATATGATCAACCCCCATAAGCATTACAAAATATTGTTTGTAATATTATTGATTTATTAATTTTTTCGAGAGAAGATATTATCCGATGAATTGAAAATAGGCTATATGAGATAGATGATTTTGGTTGTCATCATGTTTTAGAGTAATATAATTTTTATTAAAAGAACAATATATTTATTTGAATTAAAAATATGTATTTTTTTACCTTATTTTTTTTTAAAAATAATATAATTAATATAAATACAATACAATTAATTATTAAAATATAATTAATATTTTGGAATAAAAAAATTATTCAAAGTTATAAAAAAAAAATGCAATAAATGGGAAAGAAAAATAAGAAGAGCCTATCAAGTTGCAGAGAAAGGGAAAGGACAAATATCCCGCAACACTTTTATTACTTTTCCTCCTCAATTGAGCGGCCACTTCTCCTGTGCTTCTCCGAACCGTCTCTCGCCTCCTTCCGCGGGTCTCTCTCTATAAATACCAGTAGAGAGAGTCTCTGCAAGGGAAGAAGGGAAGCAGAGACCGAGCGCGAAGAAGAGAGAATAGGGATTAGTTTAGAGAGTGCGAGTAGGAAGGATGCTGTCGATGGAGTCTCTTTTTGTCCGCCCTTCTGCCACCGTCGGTGTTAAGCCCGTCCGCCACAGCCGCGGCAGCCACCTCCTCGACCAGCAGCGGCCCCGGCGTTTCCTTCATTTGGGCGCCGGTGCCGTTGCGCGGGATGGGGCTTCGGCGACTAATTCTTCCTTGCCGGTGAGGCTCTCGCTTCTCCCGTTTCCAAGTCTTCCTTCTCTTTATCGTGGTTCTATTTTGGGATCCAATTCGAACCCTAGGTGGGCAGCTTTGGATCTTTTCCTTTCTGTCACTCCTAACTGGATGGTCCTGGTTGTTATGCGAAGCTTTGTGCCGTATGTTTCCATCTTGATGACTGATTTGCTTATTGTATTGCATGTGTTATATCTAATTTTAGAATTCGTTGACCACTTGTTGCGTTACTTGGTTGTAGAGCTGATTTGTTTTAGAAATCTAGCAACAATTAAGTAGCTTTTGAGCCTTCAATCTTATAGCTACTTGTGTTTGTTTTCAATCTACATGGCTGGAAGGTACTATTATTCCTCGGTTACGTTGGATCGACCTTAAATTCTGCCCACTACACCTTGTAGAAGATCATTCCTGAGGTGTCACGAAACTTTATAGCTAGCTGGTTAGTCCACGCTTGACAATCATCTTGGCTCTTAATAACGGGAAGTATTGACTGGCAGCAATTCAAAGTCTTTCACATGATGTTGGCTGTTTTACAAGTCAGTTGACATTTTCTTACCGTAAGTATAGGGTGAGACATTTAAGCGGCTGAGCAAGACCTTGTCTTACTTTACTTTAGTTAAAAGATTCGTGAAACTGCAGACCTTCTTTCAGGAATAGAAAGCCTGCTGAAATTTTGGTCTTATAATTAGGAAGAGTGATATTAGTTGACGTTTGCAAACTTCATTTTCATAAGCAAAATTTTATGTACATCTGGATGGTCTGTAAAAACAGTGATTTAGAAACTAAGAGACAAAGCAGTTGGGTAGGTTTTGTTTGGGAACACATTTATATTTTTAATGTGCAGTTAAAGAAAGGGTTTTGAGTGAATGTACAATTGTGGAATGCTTTAAGCGTTTGACAAATGGTAGATCAAAACTGTATTTTAAATATATATTGACGTAAATATTATTTGGTAAAATTGTATTTCAAAGGTTCATTAAATATTTTATGGCAAATTTACTCTTCTAATATTTTTAATATTTATTCAAAAGTGAATACATATTTTTTATTTAAATTAATAGGTAAATAAATAAATTTAATCTTATAAAAAATTTTATATGGCCTAAATATACAATAAATAAAAAATATAATCATATAAGTAAATATAAAAATAATATTTTAAAATACTAAATAAAATTTTACCTTTATAGAAAATATAAATCATATTAGTTTCTCACTAATTTAGCATCCAGCAAATGTTGAAATGTTAATGCTACCCGAAGGTAGCATCAGCATTTGAGCATTTCTAATGCAGCGTCCAATCCATATTTGAAATGTGCATTTGGCCCTCAATGCACATTTGAAATGTGTTCCCAAATGCACCCATAATAGGATGGTTTTGTTTGCAAAATTTTCAAATTAGGTAAATTATTATTCTGTTCAGTTTTCCTTGTTTATTCAACTTGGTTTCCTTTTCTTAGTTTAGTTACCTGTGATGCCCTCGTATTGCATCGGTTCTAAGATGAACATCATGTTTAGCTTATTTTGTGAGTGTTGCATAAAATCTCTTTCATTTTGTTGAGACATGTATCAGACTAATCTAGGTTTATTTATAGAGCTCACAACCATTTTCTATATTTCAGTAAGATTATTTTCTAATGTTTCAATTTGAAAATAATACTAATTGATGAGTTGCTCCCTTTTCTTTTTTGTTCCTAGTAGAGTATCCATCATATAACTTCTAAACAAGATGTTTTTAAGTTAATATTTTCTGGTTTAATGAGTTGCAGCAATGCAGTGGTGTTTATACTGTTAGTGATTTTATGGTCACCAAGGAAGATCTTCATGTTGTGAAGCCTACCACTTCAGTTGATGAAGGTTCCACCAGTATCATTTATTAGTTAATCATTTACTCATTATTTATTTATTTATGCTTGGATCCTGGAATAATTGCTTAGCTGATCATTCATCATGTGATATCAACAGCGTTGGAGATGTTAGTGGAGTATATGATCGCTGGCTTTCCCGTGATTGATGATGACCAGAACTTGGTATTCACTTTTTTCTTCTTCTCCTATCCCTTTTCTTGACCAAATTTCTTCCTCTGCTTCCTGAAACTCTTGCTTGTTTGTGATGATTAAGTTATTAGAATACGTCTCTTCACCAAATGAACTTTTATGCACCATCTTATTGTGATGAAAATTGATGGCTCCTTGGTTTAATCTTTCATGCATAATTCTTTTTTCTGAAGATATAGTAATGCCCTAAATATAAGCAATTATGACAAAAGCTGTAGGTTTTATTTCATGTATTTTCATATGATTATGCACACAGAGATACTTTTTGCCCATTTTATATCTTGAGCTTTTAAGAATAGCATTACTGTTTGCAACCCTAAAAGATATAACCCATGTGTTGCTTAAAGTTGAGATTTCCCTAAACAGAGCTCGATGACTGAAAAACATCAATGTAACTGACAACAAGTGGTTGGGATATTACTGCTTCTTGTTGTTATTTGCTTTAGTCGGTTGACAATCCAGCCATCTGGTTTTTTGTTAGAAAGGCGGTCCGGTTTCTTGTTCCACAACCTAAGCTCCGAAGTTTCTACTGCCTTGTGATTTGTATCTTTTAAGAAGACTAAGATTTTCTATTTGGTATGCTTTGAAGTTGAATACGGAGGTCCTGTCTTTCTATTCGAGGGCAGATAAGGTGTAGAAGGCTTTAGTCTCAAGACTCAAGAGTATTCTTGTTGTCACCAATTTAGAATACTTATATCATGTTGAAGTACTTTCATATGTCATCTGTATGATTGAAATGAGGTTGCTCTTCCATGATGGCCTTCTGAAATCAAATGCTTAGTTGAATGTTGATTTGGCAATGCAAGATGTTTGTTGAGTATGAAGATTGGTCTTGTTTGTGCTTTTTTCTTTGCATCCATCTCAGAATAACGTTCTTTTAGCATGAATAGCTTATGTACCTGTTTTGGAGTGTTTGTCTTACAGAGACTGTTTCCTTGTCCTCTTTGCAGGTTGGACTAGTTTCAGATTATGATTTATTAGCAGTGGACTCCATTTCAGGTTTTCTTAGTTAATTTTTTGCTGTATTTTTGTTAACTAATTCCTTTCAAGGTTTTATAACTATTCAGACTCGTGGTTTAAGAACACAGATACTTAACAATGTCATGAGCACCACAAGCCTCAATAACAGGAAAAGAGCCGACCCCAAATAGTTGGTACCCAAAATGATATAAACAAAACCTACACACCTGGCATTTTTTTTTAACAGTGTGATGATATAGTTGGTACCCTTATGCATGCTTAAATTTTCTACCAGCCAATTTGGCGTTTACTTTTTAGCTGGATGTAATGGCGAAGATTTTCAATTCTGAAGCCTAAAAGCATTGCTAGATTATTGGAAATCTTGAAACCTTTATTCCACCTGGCCTTAGCTTATGTTGTTTAAGATTTTGCCTATTTTGATGTCTCCCGTACCCTTCAGTTTGTGATCACTACCTCATTTTACTTGATCATACAGATAGTTAGGTGGATCTGTCTTCTTAGAAAAGTGGTCTTCCATCCCTTGTCATTCACCACGAACTCAAGGGGGGAACTAAAAATCTTTCTGTTATTTCTCTGAGCATAGTCTATTTACTTGGTGAGTGAAGAGGTCAAGGAAAGGAGATTCTTAAGTTGAACTTAATTATTGGAATTATGGATGCCAAGTTTTTCAAATAAAAAAATCATCAAAGGTCTCTTAATATGGATAAGTAAGCTTTAAGAAACATATCTGAGAAAAAAAAGAAAAAAAAGGAAGCATATCTGAGACAGAGAGGGAGAGAACGTGAGAGATCCTTTTTAAAAAATGATAGATATTATGCTAGTTTATGTAGAATTTGATACCAAGCAAGCAACACATGTATTTAGCAATTTGTTCAGCATTGTCAACACGGATGTGCACTTAACTCATAGATAAGCAAACATCACATGAATGCACGTTTATCATGTCTTTTTAATAACGCACCTTTGATGCAATATATTTGGTAAAAACAGGAAGTCTAGGAAAGATGATGGAATAATGTGATAGGTTGTTTGATAACCTTGAATATAGTTGACTCATAACACATCCATATTTTGAGATAGCAATTAATGAATGTGAGCTCTCACCTAAAAAGTTGGAATTTCATTTTTACGAGTACATTAAGCAAAGTAACATAATTAGTTATTATGCTAGAAGAATGTTACGACACCCAAACACAGAAACATTCCTTGTCATGTATTTCTAGGTGTCTTCTAATCTCCTTCCCTTCTTCTTCCAATTTTTGTAATAGAAATCTTAGAGTCAGCCTTTGTACAACAATGAGATTGTCGTTATACGACCCGGGTAATCAGAATTCAAGTCATGAAAACTTCTCTATTTATAGGTGTAAGATTTAAAGACTACATAATTCTCCCCAAATTCCTAATTGGTGGGAGTCTCATACACTAGGTTTGCCTTTTTTATTTATAAATGAAAATTTTCCTTGTGAATCAAGAACATTTGCTATTAGATCCATCATGACTCAACGTAAATTTAATGCTCCTTTTCTGCTCAGGAACTGGAAGAATTGATAGAAGCATATTTCCTGAAGTTGATAGTACGTGGAAGGTATGTATGATTTTGTTCTTGTAAAGGATATGATTATTCAATTTATTTGTAGATTTTGTTGTCTTGATAAAGTTTTATGTATCATTTGTGATGAAGTTGTGCTTCTTGTGATATATTTGATGATTGACAAGGAACTAGAAAACTGAGATAATATTTGTTGGGCTTTCAGACATTAGATAGAACTAATATGATATCTTCATAGCATACTTAATGCATATTAAAAGTCGCTTCCTTGATGTCTTCTGACAGAGTGTATCCATACATAATCGAGTTATAAATTAGTCAAGTTGATGAACTCAGAGGCATATGCCCTATTTCTTAGCAACCTCATATGACATTGAGGGATTTTTTTTTTCTTTTTTCTGTCATACCTCCTGTATTGACTTGTCAACCCAGATATAATATGTTTAATATGCACAGAAGGTATCATGGTCGCAACTTCGTTACTCAAAATTATATGAACTCACATTCCATAGGAGGAAAAAGAACCACCCATATATAGTTTGCTAGATTTGCAAGTGATCCAAATAAGGAGATTATCTATTGGCTGACACACATGATGATACTAACTCCTAGACTTGGTATATTGTTTATTGCTAAGCATTTGGAAGAATAATCCTCGTAAGCATTATTGGGAGGTATTTGTTTATAAGATAGGATGTATATGCTTTGCTATGCAAGAGTCTAGATGTAGAGAAGAAGGCAAGATCCATCACACGAAAATTGAGTTTATGTATTTTGTTACATTGAATATGTAGCAACTAATTCCTGTTTGACATTCTATCTAAAATTTGATATACGATGTTAGGCCTTCTCTGGTTCCACTGTTGTACAGTCGGACAGACAGCTAGATTATGTTATTCTACCAGACTGGGGCATTTTCTCAGTCTACATTGTGCTTCACCTTTGGCCTTTGTCGAACATGGACGATGGTCACATTATCATTAGTATGACACATATATCTGGTTTTCGTGCCTACTCCAGATGATTTGTCAAGGGAGATATTATACAAAAGAAACCACCATGTTCTATCCTGTTTGTACAACATAATGATTCATAAAGCTGAACTTACATTAGCCTCCTGCTGCAGGCATTCAATGAAATCCAGAAGCTGCTAAGTAAAACCAATTGCAGAGTAATTGGCGAGGTGATGACTCCGGCCCCTCTTGTAGTTCGCGAAACTACCAACCTTGAAGATGCTGCAAGGTTCTGAATACCTAAATTCTTGTTGTTGATGTTCTTTTCAGCTTTTAACGAAATGCTAAAGAGCTTGTCGTTTCCAATCACAGGCTACTACTGGAAACAAAATATCGTAGACTTCCAGTTGTGGACAGTCATGGTAAATTGGTACGTGAATCATCCGCTAAGCTTTTTTTTTTTACCTTGTACTTCTGCTCAGTGCTCGTCATTAAATGTTTCTCGATGTTGCAGGTTGGGATAATTACACGGGCTAACGTAGTCAGAGCAGCACTCCAGAGAAAGCATGAAAACAACAAAACCTCTCCAGTCTAAGGTGGAACTCACATAGCAGGTGATGTCTTCACGGGAAGAGCAACCCCATTATTAGTAGGATCATCACTACTAGTTTAGTGCAGCTCATTTTTGTGATGTATATATCTTTTGGAAACATCAAATTCTTTTATGTTGGAAGTGAAACCTCAAAAATACCAAATGTATCTTCTTCCATGTCTTCAACCTTGTCGCCACCGTGCGTATCTTGGGCTTGTTGTTACCGTTGCCACGGGCGTGTTTAAAATTTTTTTATTTAGTTCG